TGCACGTGAAGTATTGTAAGGGTAAAGTGCACACAGTCATTTCAAAACAAAGCGGCTAGCATTGGGGCCACTAACGAGCGAACGAGGCCCGAAAGACTTCAAAGTCAAAAGACGGTTTTATTAAAAACGGTCTCAAAGTAAGAATTTTCGTATCGGATATAATGCAAGAAGAATGAAAATTCTAAGTACGTTATTTATGCATTAGATTCATCTACATCACTTCCTGTTTAATATAACTAGTTGTTCCTTGGGAAATATACCTTGTATAATTGCGGTTTTAAGCCCTAAAATATTTAAAAAAATTTAAGAAATTTTAAATTGAATTTAAATTAGTTTAATACAGTAAAATTACGTTCTTAAAAATGAAAAATATAATAAAAAATTAATAAAATTAATTGATTAATACATTTGTTTGTAGAACCATCGTTTCGAGCTACATCAATAGTCCTTCCACTTCCATTATTCCGAGTCGCTATCGCGCCAGCGAAGTCAAATACGTAAAGAGAATTTTTAAATGAATTTCAAAGGCATAAAGCCTCCGACCCGAATGGAAAACCCAATAATAAGAGAGCAAAGCAAGAAAGCAAAGAAAAGACGATACGAAATAAGGCATCAAAGTATACCCTAAGTCGTGGAGGAAGGCCTCCGTCGTGGTTAGCGAAATGACAGGCTTATGTCCGATATAGTCAAATAAGGCGCAGGAGAGAGGACTCGATGTCTGTGAAATATCGCTGTTAAATTGGCGGAAAAGGCATCTCGGCGTTCGGTGGGACCTTCCTTTTCAATTTTCATAATTTTCCGCTTTGCGGACTCGACCACAACTCATGGAAAACAATTTAAGTGTTTTTGCCCGAAAGACTAACACGAATTTTATTTCATGTATTTATTATTATAGGTACTAATATAATTATACCCACTCATTAAAATAAAACAGAGATTATTACAGTTAGAATGTTGTTGGAGATTTATTAACTACTGAGAAATCAACTACTAAAATAATTACCACTAAAGACTTAGAAATAGAAATCACTAATAAAATAATATCAGAAAAATCAACAACACTTGCAAATTATTAATTAATACTGTAATACTTTATTTAACGCTTCGTGTGAAATAAACGTGTCTAATTATGATCTACAATATCCATATTGTCCAGATTCCCTTCTATAACGAGTTTCGCTGAAGATTAAAATTAGTCACCTTGCGAGATTACCACGAGCATAAACGAATATTTAAGGTTTAAGAGGCAGGAGCACGGAAAGTATGTAGGGAAAAGGAAAGTATGTCTGGAGTGTTGGGAAGGGTGTTGGAATTCGACGAGGGTGAATAAGGATTATAAAATGTTTACGAGCGGTGTATTAAAATTTAATTCTATCATTGTTTTTAGAAGCGAAACTAATAAAATGATCAATTTCGGATCTTATTTAATAACAGTATGTTGGTAATAAGGAATTTTGTGGAGCTCTTTCACAAATTGTTTAACACTCAAAACCTTACAAAATATCGGCTAAGAAGAAATACAAATTCTCTTAGAGAACAAAGATGGAATAAACACATAGGTGTGAAAAATTAATAATATTGACATTTAACGCATAACAAAATAGCGTAACGCTAAATTTGCAAAGCCGCTCTAATAATTGAGGTATTAAATCGTTATTGGATAATGTTTGTAAACGATTATGGCATCCAAAACAGCAACATAATATGTAGTTATATAGATTAAATTGATTGATAAATTGCTGGTCAGCGAAGAGATGCGAGAGCGATAGTGCGACGTCAATTCCCGACGGGAATGTCTTTGTATCGCCAATAGAGGACGAAATCAGCCGCAAATAATAAAAGACGGCCGTTATCTGACGCCCGCAGGCCGCAAACTTCGCCAGTGAATCTTCTCGCTGTCTTATTAGAACAACTCGCCCAATACTCACTCCGCTGGAGTGTTAGTTACATCTTCGTAATGCTATGTTAGTGCGTACTTGGCACGTTATGCTCTATGATTAGACAGATTTATGCGGGGATTTCCGACGTTATGTCAAAGGAAGCGCCGGGAGGCTCGCTTTACGAAAGTCGTTTTGTCCCTAATGAGATTTTCCCTTGTCAGCAATTACAATAATTTCCTACTTATTACATAATTTACATATGTTCGCCGGAATGCAACGTTGGCTCCGGCGAATTTCCAGTTCCAGCTAGATTCTCACTTACTACCAGGCGATTAACCTGTATGTTTTTATTGTTGTCGACGGTTGGATGGTAATTCCCTGGAAATTCTAGGCAAATTATTGTTTCATTAGTTCTCCTATACTTTGTTATACATATGTAGATATTACCTACATAATTAAAGACTCTTTTCAAGAATTAAACTTCCATTTATTATATTAAACATTTGAATATAGAAAATTTCTTTACAAAAACTTCACCAATTGACCTTTTTTACTACAAGTATGTATTTACCACAAGTAAATACATTCATATTTTATATTTACTTATTGATCTAACAAAATAGTTTTAGAACTTAAAAAAATATTAAAGCCTTTCTTTCTTCTACTTTCTTATTTTATATTTTGAACATTAAATTTCAAGGTTAATTTTCAAGTTATCTAATCCAATACTTTAGCCACTGACCCATCAATCAAGCCTCGCCTCATCAATCACCAAACGTACTTGAATATCTAATACAATTATTTCATTCAAAAAAAGTTTTTTTCAATTTCTTCACGGCAATCGATCACGTACTGCATTAAAAAAGAACCTGGCTTCAGAAACCGAAAAGCATTCACATTTTCGTCTCCTCTAAAGTATTAGTTTTATCGGAGTTTACCATCAAATTACCTATCTGAAGGCTTCATTCCTACGACGTACGTATGTAGATGTTTCAATGGGGAGGCAAAGCCGGTATAATTGAGTCTTTTTAGAGCCAGAGCCTAAACCGATCTCTTCTTCTCCTCGAATACAGCCATCTGCCCAAAGTCGACTCGTCACTCTAAACCAAAAAGACGTTTAATCATGATGGTCCAATTAAAATATTAACATTTTCATTTGAAGTTCCTAGAGTTATTATAAATTAATTATAATACAACTGACACGTCCTATAATTTTAAGCATTGAGTTTACATATCTATCGAATAAAATACCTGCATAAACGAGTTACTTACGTGCAATGATACGCTCGAGTAATCTTCTTTATTTTTTTCCATCGCCCTGTTGATTGTATTACCTGATAAAAGCGAAATGATCAGATTCCTATGGCAGAATGTAAATAATCCTCAATCTAAAAGCATTTATGATGTCGGAGATTTCAAAACAATCGAATGTTTGCGGAAAATGAATCTGTTTTCTCGATGGAGCGGCTCGCTCACTCGGAAAATTATGGAAACTGAAAAGGCGGAGTCGATGAATTCCAATTCTATTAGTTCTGCTGGAATTGGTTTCTTTATTTTACTCTGGGGTAGTTGTTGCAACGGTCGCTATTCGAATTTAAATTAATGGGATTAATTTACTGTTAACTTATAAATTTTTTATACTGTGTAGCTGGAATTACGGCAGATTTCACGGTAAAATTTTAAAGGAACTTTATCCGAAATCAGCTTATAACAGATGACAATTTTACAATATTATTTGGAATTAATTTGCATTCTAAACGCTACTTTAGCAGAAGGATATTTAAAATAGTCGTTAATCTCCGTTTTAGGTAAATACTTATTTATTAATTTATGAGGAACAAATACATTTTCTCTAATTTTCGTGAAGTAGGAATAGAGCAAAATAATCAATCTTGTGTTAGATAGCAAGCAATTTAAATTTGAAATACGTGTTTCATTTTTGTTTCGAATTTTCTCCTGTTTTGCCGTATTTTCCGAACTGCGATCCGGCAAATTATCCAAGCTCTTCGTATGCGAGAACTTAAGTTAAAACTTTCAGCGCGTTGTATAATTTAATTACCACGTCCCCATTTGGTAAAGCAAACACTACCGAGGATTAATATGCATATCGAAAACTATATGTGTATAAAATAATCCAATTTGTTACTTGAGCATAACTAAAATGTTTAAACGTACATTAATAGAATGCTTTGGTATGATCTACTCCGTCAACCCTTTTAACTGTTCTAAATATTTAATGGGACTCAAAGGAGCTCCATCAAATATCCATACCGATGTCAACTTCTGCTTAGTTCGCAGCGAGAATCATAGTCCTTAAATTTATTAAATCTCTTACTTAAATACCTCACTATTATTTTACTTACCGGTAATTTTAGAGGATGTAATAAAGAGGAAATTAGGTAATAAATATACCTAAAGGAGAGACCGCTAAGATTGTATAGGTGCATTATATTAATTGATTTATAGCTAAAAATTTCCTATTCCGCTCAATTATTGATCGAATATTATTTGAAATTAGCATATATTTGATAATAACTGTATCCAAAATTTTTATCGAAACAATCCGGAATTTCTATAAATTCCTCAACTGAATTGAATATTCAGGATCCTTTCGAATTAGTGACGTTTGTTAAATTTCAATAAGGAAGGAATTCATTGAAAATGCCCAAATTTCAATACTTAATAATAAACTTGTATCGAGTTCAACTAGGATCATTTTCAAAGAAGTTAAATTTTTTATATACATGTCAGATTAAACATTCTTAAGGGAACCTAAATTATTCTACATATTTGCAGACTTCATCTTGAGGGAATAAAAAAATGTTTTTTCACAATAAATTTGAATATATCAATAGCAACGTTGATATTGTAAATATTATTATTCACATCTAATTGGATGCTTCCCTTGTTTCAATTTAAGACAGGTATACACAGCTATAAGGAAAATAAATGATTATAAGGTCTACACGAGAAATAAAAAAAAACTACCTCTCGGGAAAAAATCGTGTGGTTTGTTGGGAAATGTATTCTTCCCAACTGGATTGGTCAGTTACGCTTGTGCGCTTTCTACTCGAGCCGAAAATTCAGCTTCACACGTGAGAAAATTTTCAGTTGACGTCGGGACGCGCACTGGCACGTCGGAAGTTGTGGCAATCGGCTCGAGAGCACGTGATTCGTCGACGAGAGTTGATTTTGAGAGTTCGAATATAAATTTTTCGAAAACGAAATTTTTGATTTTCTATTTTCCAAGTAGGTAAGTTTGTATCGTTGATGAATTAGTATTTTTAAACGGAGAATTATAAAAATAATAAATCAGTAGATATATATAGTAAAATTTTGGAGGAATTAGATTAAGACTTTTTATAATTTTAAAGGTCAAAAAATTTAATTGTTAAATCAGAAGTGAAAAATTTTCTCTATGCCTCAATTTACAGAAAATTTATTTTAGAAAATGTTAGAAGAGTTATGAACACAACTCATTTCAATATTATTTTTTAATATTCTTGTTGTCTTTTGAATTGAATCTTGTTAGATTAATTTACAATTTACAATCCAAAACTAGGAAATAAAATACCTAATAATAATAATAATAATAATACTTACCATTAACTTGTTTATATATTTTCTTTATCTTTTTCACATAACTTAATAAATTTATTAAATAACAAGTCAATTTTAAATTACGTGTTATAACAATTTTTCTTGGGTTATCCACTAATACAAGATCCAGCTGTGGAAAGATTTTTGTTTTAAAAAGAGTAAATTACAAATAACGATAAAACATCAGTTTTATACACTTTATTATCTTCTCATCTTATTTCTTTTTTGTATCATATTTCAGTTCCCAATGTGACAGATTACGCGAAGAAACGAAACAAACAATTGTATATAGTATATAAGATGTCGGTGGATGAGGATTTATTTTTGAACGGCACCGGGAAAACGAAAAGCATTTATCAACAATCCTCCACTGGGGAAAAACACGTCCTTTTTTATCCAACGAGTTCTTTACCGGCGGCTATCGACGTTGAAGACCACAAAGGCACTGCGAAGAAGCTACAAAAACAGGTATTTAACCAACTGCTTGCTATATAACGTTAAAAACTTTTATTTCTATTGCTTAAAATAGTTGATATATCGCATATCCTGATATATTTTTTTCTATATTTCATTTTTTTATAAATCTCTAGTATTAAAAGTTGTTTTAGAAAGTAGGTCAATAAAAAATAATTTGCAATTTTTCCAATTACATAAGTGATGTACCTATTCTTGAATTTTTATTATTGAAACAAATGTTTTATTTCTTTTAGAAATTACGATTTATTCGGGTTTTACAATCTCCCTTTTGTGCACAAAAGTCATAACACAAAGTCCAATATGTCAACAATAAAAAGTTAGGCTCAGGTGTAGAATCCTTTTGATTTTCATGCAAGCCACCAAAAACAAGTTTCAGTGATTTGTTCTTTTCGTTCTGATGTTCGCATTAGGCGCAATCCGGTGCAGCTGGCACCACACTCGTTTTGGATACACAGACAAAAACAAATTACTAGAACCAGAATGGGGTTAACTTTAGGGAAAACCACTTTAAATTTTATTATATCTACTTTTGGCTCGACATCGTATTTTTTATTCCTAAAAAGCGGCTAAAAGAATTTAGCTGAAAATATTCCACGTAAACAGGCAGATTGTATCACATTTTAAGTCTCTCTGATACAGTTAAGCACCCAGTAGATAGCTATCTCATTAAAATTTATCTAAATACGAACGTAATTAAGTAATTTTTAATAAATATTTTACGCAACTTATTAATTTAGAACTTATTACCAATGATTTATTTTTATTTAATAAATCAATAAGTAGCTTAGGTTTTCTATAAAAATTTTAAAATGTGCACTAAAAAATTATTCTCGACAATAAATAAAATTTGGCAGGTATATTTGATTTAATAATTTTTTATGATCTAGTTTATAGCGCCGTATTCAAATGACGCTATGAAAATGTACACGAGTACGCGCTTAGCTAAATGGCAGAATAATTATTCATTTAATTTGCTTAATATGCCGATGCAATAAATTAATTAAAAGCCGTTGTCGGAATCAAAATATTTTAATACCAATTTTACGTCCTATTTTTTTTAAATTATAAACAAATAATTGAAATTTACATAAATACATTCAGTCATTGTTTGTACATCATTAAATGTTCGTTTCTAATTTACATTTAAGCCTTGATTAATACGTACACTAAAAAAAGATTGAACGGTCAAATAATTTCACGGGATTCACAAATTAGAACGGGATAATTCTTGGTCTTTATTTAGCTATTACCTATCACATAAAGCTTCATTTTTGTACAGTTTAAGCTGTCTTGAAATCTTAAAACTTCCGAGGTAATTGTTGCTTGCTTCAAAAGTCAAATTTCATATAACATAATATAAAATTACACAAATTCAATGTTCCAGTGTATAACAAAAAGGTCTACGGATACAAAATGTTAATAAATGGTTCAATTCTTTCTGATTTGTTCGGTCGGAATTGGTGGCCTATGAAATGATTTTCCCATCGTTTTATCGGCCGGAAATGATTTCCAATTAATATATCCTAATAATTTCGAATTATTAGTGTTTATAGTCCCGTATATTTGGATTACAAATAAATTTATAGCCATGTACAGGAGTTAGACTCGAATATCATATAAATATTTAATGATTTTGGACACGTTTTATTGTTGGCTGAACAGAAAAATATTTACAAATAATAATTAAAAAGGTATTTTATTTGAGTTATTTATTAAGTAAGCTAGTCAGTAGATTACTGGTGTTATTAAAAGTGTTAAATAAATAAGATAAGAGTAAATACAATAAAGATATGCCCGATATTTACTAGTAAATATAATTTATGTTTGGTTAATCAGATTCAAAATCTGGAAGAAGCATTTTCTTCTTATATCATGAAGCCAGATGATACTACCTATTTTGCGTTTAACTTAATATTGAATAACAATTTCGCTTCTCTGTATACCTATATCGGGAAGCCTCCCCGAAGTCTCATACATATCCCCGAATTTCATTATACCGAAGCTTCCTTTTAATATAAAACCACGTGAGATTATATAGATGACGACGGGAAGTGTATACAACCTCGCTCAGCACCGCGACCTATAGGTGAACGTCTACTCTTTAGCTGTAGATAGTTGTTGAGCTTTACTCAATTTATCTAGCCAAGCAATATTTTAGTACCTTGGTACATTTGGATAATACATATTACTATCTTGAAGAATCGTTGCTAATTGCTAATAAAGGGAAAGCAAACCTGTTGAAAAATTAAGGGAATATTGTAGGTAACTTTCTAATATTTACTATATACGTATATATGTTATCAATTATCAATTTTTCTCCCTTGGCAGACAATTAACTGCGAGCATGACGCCAGGAACGCCCGTCTTAAGGAATATATTTACGAAATAGCATTAATATGGTTGTAAAGTGTAATTACTCGTAGGCGGCAGGTTGATGTTACTACACTATATTACCCTAAGCTTAACTTAACTTATTCACACGCGGAGACATGAAATTAACAACATGAAGGCGACTGATTTATGCATCGAGCTGTACGTACTTTCTTACCGGTTCAATTAAAATTTTATTATTTATACCAAAAAAAATGTAACTGCATTATTGCGACAGCTTGAGCTTTGTAAACAATGTGAAATAATGTAAATTAATGAGGAGCAAACGGATATAATAAAGCAACTTTTTTTCGTTATTGATACAAAAGACTCAAAGAATCAAACATTTTTCTTGCCACTGGATAAGTATCTCATAATTCAAAATATTTGTGACAAACTTGTTGTTATTATCGATTTAAATAAATTATATAGGATTGTGCTCCGAATAAAATTGTCGTCGAAAAAAGAATTAAACGTTACAGGCAGTGTTATCCGAAATATCAAGGCACCCAAACAACTTTAATAGAGCTTGTATGGGCTTTTACGTGACAAATAATACTATCGCGTGTCCAGAAGTTGGTTAAAGTGCAAAATTCACCGAAAGACATTTTTATTTCTCGATCTAAATAGCAGGTAAAGTCGCATTTTGGTTAAAATTTAATTTAATGGTTTTCAAAGTCGACTCCAATTACACCAAATTACTGCTGCCACTTACATGCCTATTAAAATTACGTGATTGGCATTGATATTTTTTTAATGGAACTAATGTCGATGACTTCTCAGATTGGTAAATTTTAATATACCTACATATAGTTCTCAAGGTATTTTGGTTTTTCCTTCTTTGTTAAGCATTAAATATAATAAATAAAAAGATCTCCGAAAAGGCTGTCATATAATCCTATTTTTGCCGAATATCTAATTGGATTCTCATTACTAAAATCAATAAGGCGTTTGTTTGTATAATTACCCAATAAGGACCTTTAACGACTTACAGTAGATTAGCATCCCGAATGGAAATAATTCGAAAATATTGACCTGTTTGTGTCAACTACACTAATTGGTATATTTTGAATTTGTATGCTACTTACTCCTTATAATTAGGCGTATTTTGGTGGAAAATTACAAATTAATGACACACATTTAAATTGTTTGCTTAATTAATTGGTAAATATTGCAGATTAGATGATTTTGAAATATGATAGTTTGATTTTTTAGGCCCAATAAGCATAATACGTATACTTATAAAGTAAGAAAATCTGCAATACAGATTCTAATCTTTATATTATATCATAGTATTTTTAAAAATAATATTCAAAATGCCTAAAGTTTTCTATATTTTCATTTAAATTACGTTAAATTAGCCTTTATTTAACTAGTTCAGACAAAAACGTCAGGCTTATTTAATGCAGTTTCCAGATGATTCCTAATGAAAACTTGAGCTGGTTTAATTAACCGGAGCTATTTCGAAAGTTTGTTATTATCAAGGTGTATACTTTGTAAAACATATGAAGTGTTTATTTTATGAGACCATAAAGATTTATGGAACTTATGTAATGGAATACTGATTTGACAAATGTACTAAAATTAAAAATTACTAAAATTACTACTGCTAAAATCTGTTAGGAAAAAGTCCGATAGCGGAATTACATTTATTTTCTGGTGGAAATTTATTACGGATTAATAAAAGAATTGTGGTCACATTTATTGAACGTCGTTTCTGCCAGCAATACTAAAATCGGCATTTCTTCGTGGCAAATTGCAGTGGAATAGTAATAAACGGTAAAATAGCAGGTGTTTGGTTGTCAGAACGATGGAAGATATGGGTAATTAATGTATAAAATACAGCTATTTTTTACTTCAGGCATCCTCTCTGAAATACATCCAGCAGATTACTGAGAAAATATTTAAATATTTTTAGAATATTTAGGTAATTTGAGACAATATCAATATCACGATGTAAAAAAAATGATATAGAAACCTACTCCTGTTAATATTGTAAGCTGTAATTTAATTTTGGAATAAGTAAAATTTTGTTAGGTAACTACTGCAGAAATTGAAAACAACATACGTACAGGGTGGCCACAAATTTGTAGATCTTTTTAAGCTGCATATGTTAAAATTAGTTACATTCATTTAGAGTGTCCCGTTTTTTCGTAGTAGTCAAAACTTATACATTTTTAAATGGAACACTCTGTTTTTTATTTAAAAATTGAATTTAGCTCGTTTTCAGCTTTTTAAAAATAAAATCTTGTACAAAATGAATATTTTTGTCAATTTTAATCATACTGCTTACAGGGAGGATCCAAAAGCAAAAGTATAATTTTCTCCGTTATTTTAAATGGGTCACCCTATATTTTAGGGTATTTAAGTATTTATCTAACAGACTATCTAAAAATAAAATCTTTGTATAAATTTCACTGCAATAAAATATCGTATAGCTTTTTAAGGAATCCTCTTCATTATCTTTTGCTTCTTTGACTCTTAACTTATTATTATAAAACTTATTAAATCCCCTGGAATCTTTTTTACAATTATAAATTTATGTGAATATAGAGATATTTGTTTCATTTTGGGTAGAATAACTAATTTCGTCGATAAATTTTAGTTTACACCTTACATAC